TTTAGTTATTGCATGTGCGAAGTTTGGAATGAAGGTTAAAACGTTCCTGTAAACAGGGATACCTATAGAAGATTTGTCTATATGTGGCTCACTTTCAAATAAAGCCATTACTTGGTTAAGAACAGGTGGGTTGTAATTTTCTTTTTCGAAACAATCGAGGGTGGAACTTATGGATTTATTCGTAAAAACAGCAGTTTTTAACATGCCTAACTTTGGTATTGGTCACGAAGGGAATTCCGAGGAAGATAGGTCCATGGTGAAGGTTCTTGTGAAATCCTGAGGTTTGGAAGTCCGTATCTTTCTTGTCAATGAAAATATTTTCCCATCATTAATTGTATGTCTTGGTGTATCTGGTTTAAATTGTAGAAAATAATCATAAACAACGTTGGGGTTATCGAAAATTGTAAAAATGTTATCAACATATCGAACCCCCGGGGGGTTCGATATGTTGATATACTGTCTTCTCAAATTCACTTTACAAACAATTTTTTTACTGTCTTCTCAAATTCACTTTACAAACAATTTTTTTCTTCAATTCTTATCATGAATATATTGTCAAGTATGTAGACTACAAGATGTCTCGTACTTAGGCCTTCAACTTGGATATAATTTACACATTAAACCTGAAAATGAGAAGGTTTGTTGATGTTTAGGCGAAAACTAGGATTAGAATCGTCTTGTTAACACTTAGGAGCATCATTTTGATAAGAGCACAGTCTTGGTGTGGCATTCTAATATAAGCACAATGTTCGTGTAGCATTTTAATATAAGCACAATTTTAGTGTAACATTTTAATATAAGCACAATGTTCGTGTACCATTTTAATATAAGCACAATCTTGGTGTAGCGTTTTTAATATAAGCACAATCTTGGTGTAGCATTTTAATATAAGCACAATCTTGGTGTAGCGTTTTAAATATAAGCACAATCTTGGTGTAGCATTTTAATATAAGCACAATCTTGGTGTAGCGTTTTTAATATAAGCACAATCTTGGTGTAGCATTTTAATATAAGCACAATCTTGGTGTAGCGTTTTTAATATAAGCACAATCTTGGTGTAGCGTTTT